GAGAGAGAGAGAGAGAGAGAGAGAGAGAGAGAGAGAGAGAGAGAGAGATGGAGAGAGAGAGAGAAAGAAGATTTTGGTCAGATCTTAGATACCATCTTAGATCTGGTCCTGACCAGATCTCAGATCTGTTCTTACGCAGATTTGAATAACTTAACAGTTTAAATGTTCAATTTGCAAGGAACATGAATATGGACGAAGCACAGAAATCCAGAATGCAAAATCACACTGAAGTCCAAGTAGTCAAAGCCAAAGCAGATAGCACATGGAACCGAGTATCCATCCAATTGAGAATGATACAGAAGAATCGTGAGTCAATGTCCATGCCCAACAGGGCAACACCAATAGCATAACCCAAACGTAGCTCTCTCTTGTGAATGGCGCCAGGCGCCCTATCTACTCTACAGCCTAGCCTACAACTACAACAATGAAAGCAACCAGACAACTTGACTACCAGCGAGTGATGATGTCAACACCAATGCCGACCTCCACCTTCACCAGGTACGTGTCCTCTTCCCCAGACTCTCCCTTGTTACCCACACAGCGCCCTTCACCTCCGAAGACCACCTCCGCCCTTCACCCTCACTGCACCCTCATGCGGCCCGGCTATGGCCGCCAGTGCCCTGGTGCGCACGCAACGCCCTACCGCCTAGCGCTGGCCTGCCTTGCACCTTTCTTAGCGCAGCGCAGCAGCAGCAGCAGCTCGCATTAGCGCAGCGTGCCGGCATTGCCCGCAATGGCCAAGATCTTTGCCCACTCGCCTTGCTTGCCTATATGCCAATGCGACGTGTGGGCGGCCTCTCTTCAGCCTGTGACCGGGACCGAGAGGCTGAAGCCAACCCGATACAGTTGGGCCCCGGGGCAATGCAGTTGCGCCTCTTTCATCAAGGCCTGCGGCCAGATTCAGATAATGGGCCGATTTCCCTTTGGCATTTTCGGCCTGTATACCCAGCATGCATTGTTGGCCTCACGTTCGAGTGCCCAGGGCCTAACTAACTCAGAGGCCCTGGGCTTTCAGCATTTGCTGAAATCTGAGACTCGGTGCACTCCAACCAACTGGCGTGCTGCAACTGTATGTACCCCACTTCGTGAAATGTTGGCACAGAGGGCTCTTATTGATTTGCTGGCCCGCCTTCACTTAGGGCGGGCACGAGGCTTGCTCGGGCCTCAGCCCAGAATATGTACATCATGGCAAGGCCCCTTCTTGAGGGCTCATTCCTCACATTCCATCCCCCTTAGCTTCGAAAGTCCGCTGAGATGCTTACTTCGCAGGTGCCTTCCCTTTCACCTTCCTTTCATATTCTGCCACCACCTGAGGAGCTGTCTCAATCAGTTCCTCCCTGGTAAACCACCGATCTTCGTTGGGATCCGTGTGATGCCTGAATCTGACACGATATTCTCTCTTGGGTTTAGGAGGTCTTCCTCGACCCAACGGCTTTGCAACAGGCATGTCCCGGTGATCCACCATGTCATCGATGTCGACTTGTCCATCCATGGTTGGGGGCAGCATCGATCTCCTGGAAGGGAATTGATCAGTCTCAGCGAAAGGTGCAAGCTTTGAGGCATGAAAGACTGGGTGAGTGCGTAGGTGTCCAGGGACGTGAATGAAATAAGTGGGACCATCCATCTCATCTCCCACTATATCTAGGACTTCCCAGGAAGTATCGAGGCATTAGTTTGCGAGAGATTCCAAATTTCTGTCCTAGCTCGCTAGCCTTGACCCAAACACGTTCCGCTACCTGAAATGTGGACTATCTACGGTGTTGATTCTCAGAAGTGTTGAGCTTTCTTCATGTGCTCGACAGCTTCTTGCAGCGACTTCTCATACTGCACACCGTATTCAAGTGTGTCTGGGGTTGCAGCAGGTCGGTTTTCAGGTAGGAGGAAGTCTAACGCAGATCTAGGCTTCCATCCCAAGTGTAGCTGGTTAGGACTCACGCCGGTGCTGATGTGCACAACATTGTTGTACAAACTGGTGATGAGTGGCAACTTCTCATCCCAATCATCTTGATTGGGCTTGATGTAATGCCTCAGCAAGTGTTGTACAACTATATTCATTTGTTCGGCTTGTCAGTTGGCTTCGGGATGATTCCCTGAAGTCATCTGAAGTTGACTGCCCATTTGTTCCGCAGTCTTCTTCCATAGCTCACTTGTGAATCGGACGTCTCTATCACTAACGATAGTCTTTGGTAAACCAAAGTCCCGCACGCAGTTGTCCTTAAACAACTTGATGACGTGGTCAGTCCTCGCACTTTCTGGCATGGCAACTAGTCTAGCGTACTTGGTGAATCGGTCTATGATGACGAAGATGTGCCTCTTACCACTCTTGCTAGTTACCAGGGTGTCCATGAAATACATGGAAACACTCTGCCCTGGACCAGCGGGAATAGGTAAGGGCTTAAGCAACCCAAGCGGTGCTTGAGTTCGCGGCTTGTCCCGCTGACAAACCTGACAGGTCTCTACGTATTTCTTTGCGTCATCGAACATACCAGGCCACCAAAATCGTTGTACTAGATTAGCACTCGTTTTCTTCTAGCCAAAGTGTCCCGTTGCGTCATGGCATTCTCCTAAAAATAAACTACGCAACTGTTCACTACATGGAACTACCAATCTCTTTATTCCGGCCTTATCAAGATAGAGTAGCCCGTCCACCATCACAAACTCACTTTCTGTGGCCTTGTCTTTTGCCTGAAGTTTGCGGATGATGTCCATCGTGACAGGGTCTTCCTGATAGGCTCCCACCAATGATTGAGTTACTTCATTAGATACGCCAAAGTCAGAAACTAGCGCACCTAGGTAGTCTGCTCTACGGGATAGCGCGTTTGCAACCTTGTTGTACTCTCCCTTCAGGTACTCAAGCTTGAAGTCATATTGGTCTATGACATCAATCCATCGCTTGAGTGCATCAGAAAGAGCCGGTTGAGTCTTGGTCCATTTGAGGGTCTGATGATCAGTCCTCAGATAGAAGAACCTTCCCAAAAGGAAGTGTCTCCAATGGACAAGTGCCTTGTAGAGAGCATAGAGTTCCGTTTCGTAGGTGGACTTACCCAACTTCTTTGATGACATCTTCTTACTCATGTACTCAATCGGTCTCAACTTTTTCCCATCCTGCTGAGCCAGCACCGCGCCAATGCCGTATTGGCTTGCGTCAATGGTCACTATGAATGGCTTCTGCGGATCGGGAACCATGAGGACCTCATGATTCATGAGTGCATTCTTCAATCTCTTGAAAGCACCCTCGCACTCATCACTCCAGTCCCACGGTGTGTCATGTCGAGTTAGATCAGTCAAAGGAGAGGCGACTGCAGAATAGTTCTTAACGAAGTTTCTATAGTAGCCACACATTCCTAGGAATGACCTGAACTCAGTGACTATCTGAGGTCGTGGCCAGTCTCGAATACTAGCCACCTTTGCATCTTCCCGCCTAATTCCCTCCGCGGATACTTCATGACCCAAGTGTAGTATCTTAGTGCGACCAAATTCACACTTCTCTAAGTTGACCTTATACTTGTGTTGTCGCAGGAGTGACAAAACTGTCTCAACATGTTGTGCTTGCTCCTCGGCAGACTTACTGAAGATCAGAATGTCGTCAAGGTATACCACAACAAACTTATCTAAATGGTCATGGAAGATCCGATTCATAGCGTGCTGGAACGTACCCGGCGCATTACAAAGACCAAAGGGCATCACTACAAACTCATACAGACCATAACGAGTCTGAAAAGTTGTTTTGTGTTGGTCCTCAGGTCTGATTGCGATCTGGTGATATCCGGATTTCAAGTCTATCTTGCTATAGTACTTGCATCCCTGCACCCTATCCAATAGGTCGTCTATGCGAGGTAGAGGCTCTGCGTTTTTCACTGTGATGGCATTGAGGCCTCTATAATCAATGCACATCCTCAAAGTACCCCCCTTCTTCGGTACGAATAGCACGGGAGATCCGTAAGGGGAAGTACTAGGCCGAATCCATCCCTTCTTTGTCAGCTCCTTTAGTTGCTTCCGAAGTTCATCTAACTCGGCAGAGGCCATCCTATAGATCCTTCCCTTTGGGGTCTTACTCCCTGGAATGATTTCTATAGCGTGGACGACTTCCCTATCAACAACTCCTGAGGGCTCTTCGAACAGATCAGGGAACTTAGCAACGACGCATTCTATCCCTGGGGGTGTTTTAACGGCCTCCCCCTTCTCAGAGGCATAAACAAGGTACATACCCTCCTTTTGGTTTTGCTTATAATAGTTGAAGAACGAGGATGCGCACAAGCAGCCATAGGTATCTTTAATACTACTGGCCTTGAACTTGGTCCATCTGACAGTTCGGCCATCGGGCAACTTGTGTTTGAGCACCTTCTTGTCCCAGTCGAACTGGGGCTTAGCAACTTCGAGGTAGTACATGCCTAACAGCATATCGAATGGCAAGTCGTCGCTAACCAAGAACGAGATCTTATGGTTAAGCTCACCTCCTCCATAGGAGAAGGTACAAACTACGTCCTTGATGTAGTCTGTCACTATCATGCGCTCCTTGTTGGCCAAAGTAGATGCTACTGGTCTACTAAGGTGCCGTACCCGGTCTTGTAGGTGCAGCCTTTCCAAACAGTCGCGGCTTATATAATTCCGTGTGGATCCGATATCTATGAAGGCACCACATATTCGGCCTCTTACATCCACTTCCACCACGAAATGTTCCCCTCTAGGACCCTTCTTGAGTGCCATCCAAGACTCGCGAGGATCCTTGTTTGACCACTCGCCTTCTAAGTCTTCTAAGGCTTCAGACACATCTAACGTACAGAGCATAGTTTGGTCTAGATGCGTCTGCGGGGTGACTAAGGAGTCATTAGCTTCAGCCTTGTCATGAAGTGAGGAGGGTATCATGCCCACTTCATCTTAAGTCGAAGCCGCTACTACTTTCACTGGCCTTACGCGTTTCCCGAGCTAGAAGCCTGGGAATAAGATGCCCCCATCTTTGGAGCAATCTTTTGCGTGACCTTAGCGTTCTGGCACTTGTACTGCGAGTGTCCGTACTCCCCGCAATTGATGCAAGCGCCACGCACTCGGCGATCACGCCACACGTCTTGATCAAGACCTACCTTAACCCACTCAGCCTGCTTGGTCTAATTGGAGGCAGCCTTCCCTTGACTCCTAGGTTGGCCCTTCCCTCGGCCACCTGCCTTAGTCTTCACTACTGCGACGAGGGTGCTACCCTCAGCTACCTCCTCGCCGTCAAACTCTGTGTAGCCCATCAGGTCAGTGAGCTCGTCGATTTCAGTTTGGGTCCCATCGGACTCCACCACCATCAACTTCGCCCCCATCTTTTTCCACTCCTGAGGACTCTTCTTCTTCTTTGAGTCATTTCCTGAGGTGGGTTGAGCATTGCCTAGCGTGGCCTCTAAGTCTAAGGCTTTCATAGACAATGTCTCAAACGAGTGGTACTTAGTGTGTGCCTCACAGGCCTCTAAGTTTCTGATGTTCTCTGGGAGACATTTGACAAACGTCGTCAAGAGGAACTGGTCGCTGTAGTTAATGCCTGGGATGAGGATCAGACTCTCAACGGTCGTCGTAAGCTCTATCACCGATTTGAACTTTCGTTGGTCCAACTTGTTTATCGCATCAGTGGCTTTCTGTGCCTCCTGTGGATTATGCCAGCGAGCTTCTACCATTTCCATGAACTGGTCTAACGTCAGAGACTCAGCCCAGTCCGCCATGCGTTTCCCATACCCGACCTTTATCACTACACCATCTAGCCATTTGGCTGCCTTACCCTCGAGGTAAGATGCAGCGGTTACCACTTCGTCCTCAGGCAAGGTCCTCTTTCCCTTCACCCAAACCGGGACGGTCCTCAACCATGTGTTGAGTTCCTCGTCCTTTCTCACGCCTGAGAAGGCAAGAGGTGGTTTCAATGGGGTCTTAGGGTACCATTGACCTTGCGGCTGTCCTTGTTGAGGACTAGCCTCTTGCGGTGGTGTAGCAACCACCGCTGGACCCGAAGAAGAAGATGCAACAGTCTGTGCGGCTGCTGCAGATGTGCCACTTGGCTGTGTGCCAGCTTGAACCGGAAAGGGGCCTGACATCGCCGATAACGGCAACGACGATTGTGCCGGTGGCCGGAATCCTAGCCTTGCCAATGCATCCAGGATCTGGTCTAGAGTGCTTTGCATGAAGTCTAATTTGTTGTCCATGTGTGCGTGCAATGGCAGCATATTCTTCGTCAATACTTTCAGAGGGTTAGTCAATGATGACTCATCCAAGCCCTCTAATTCAGCCTTGTCAGCCTCTAAAGTTTGAAGCCTGGCTGCTCTAGTTTTCATCGCATTTTCTCTATCAGTAGCGTCTTTCAGGTCCTGCTCTAACTTACGGTGGAACCTCTCGACCTGCTGGATCTCTCTGAGCTCCCTCTCACGCGGGGTCAACGGGCTGAACTGCGCGCCCGCCATTTGACTAGAAGACTATATAGAACCTGTGGAACCGGAAGTGCCCGAGGAACTTGTGGAAGTCGTTGGCATTTCCAACGGGCTCCCATTAGTCCCTGACGAGGACGCAGACGATGACGCAGCAGAGCTTGCGCCGTTAGCCATCGCTGTTGCTCTGGCTGTTGTTGCCTGCTCTCTAGCTGCTGCGTTTGCTGCTGCTATCCCCGCTGCTAGAGCACGGGCTCTACATAGTCGTCTTTCTTCTCCCGGCTCCAAGGCCTGGAACACGAGCGGTACCCTTAGTGCCTGTGCACGTGTTAGTCTCCTACCATTTGTTCTATCATCAACAGGGTCTGACTCACTCATTAGTTAGACAAATACTGTCTGCACTAGAATCCCCTACTGGAATCCTACCACAGCATGTATTTGACCGGCACGTAATTTTCTCTAAATAGTTGTGTCCGACGAGTTCCCTACTATACCGAATCAAGTGGCATGTCTACAACATTTACACAGATTGTCTGCATAGTCTAGATGCACCCTGATTGGTTCACTTACAGCAGTATTAGTTAGAACTGGCTATGGTAGCATACAACAGTCTTACACTAATCTGTCTGTGAGGTTAGCAGTCCGTCAACCAACTAATCAAAGGTACAAAAAGACAATATAGCAAATGTATGATTGATGGGAATAGTTGTGTATTCAGTTGAGTACCAATTGGAATCTACCCTTCCCCTCAATCCAACCATCCAGACAACATCTTGAGCAAAGCTGTTTGTTCGTGTGTGTACCGGCCCACCCCTGTGCCCAAGTCAGAGCCGAGCAAGCCAACCAGTCCACTCTTATTTACCCTCGTACAGAAACGAGCCTTACTGTCCATGTGATCTGGCTGATCAACAGGAATTTATAGAGCGCCCCCATCTTTGCAGGAATTCTTTAACGTCGCAGTCAGGACGATGATCACAACCAAATTCACAATGAACACCCAACCAGAAATGTTTATAGACGGTCTGGTAAGCGTCTCTTAAAAGGTTGTCACACCCGGCAAGACTTCTATCTGAGCGCAGCAAGTGCCAAATAGGACAGCAGCCATCGCATGCGTGCACTACTCCCTGTGGGTTGGCATGGTGACCGTGACCCAGTGCTTCGACCAGGGCCCTTCAGAGGCACCGCCCTTTCTCCTTCTAGATTGCTTCCGGGAAGATTGTCGTCTCTCAAGGTAGCGCGCTCACGACACCTCACCAAGGAGAGGACTCTCAACTTGGACTCACTTCCTCACGGTAAGGAGAGATTGAGAAGGTAGATAAGGTAAGGGATCAACATACCAGGAGATAGCTGCCCCCAACCACAGATTTCTCACCAATTGAGCTGATGTTGCATTTGATGACCGGTCATGACCTCGGTACCACCCACAACGCAATGCAGTGCCACCTTAGTCCAATGCCTCATCAGCATGCTCTCATCATCAATCAAACATTCCGCTGTAACCCACGGCATACACTGCCGCATTAGCCTTCCGGCGCACCCCTCTCTAACCAGGGCGTGCGCCTAACAATGGCCTGACGTCACAAGTACCAACTGCGAAGAAGCATCATCAACGCACCAAGTCTGTATAACGCCAGCATGCCGAAGGTAAGTGGCGATCAAACCAGCTCTAATACCAAATTGCAAGGAACATGAATATGGACGAAGCACAGAAATCCAAAATGCAAAATCACACAGAAGTCCAAGTAGTCAAAGTCAAAGCAGATAGCACATGGAAACGAGTAACCATCCCATTGAGAATGATACAGAAGAATCCTGAGTCAATGTCCATGCCCAATAGGGCAACACCAACAGCATAACCCAAATGTTGCTCTCTCTTGTGAATGGTGCCAGGCGCCCTATCTACTCTATAGCCTAGCCTACAACTACAGCAATGAAAGCAACCAGACAACTTGACTACCAGCGAGTGATGATGTCAACACCAATGCCGACCTCCACCTTCACCAGGTACGTGTCCTCTTCCCCACACTCTCCCTTGTTACCCACACAGCGCCCTTCACCTCCGAAGACAGCAGCAGCTCGCATTAGCGCAGCGTGCCGGCTTTGCCCGCAATGGCCAAGATCCTTGCCCACTCGCCCTGCTTGCCTATATGCGAATGCAGCGTGTGGGCGGCCTCCCTTCAGCCTGTGACTGGGACCCAGAGGCTGAAGCCAACCCAATACAGTTGGGCCCCCGGGCAATGCAGTTGCGCCTCTTTCATCAAGGCCTGCGGCCAGATTCAGATAGTGGGCCGATTTCCCTTTGGCATTTTCAGCCTCTATAGCCAGCATGCATTGTCGGCCTCACGTTCGAGTGCCCAGGGCCTAACTAACTCAGAGGCCCTGGGCTTTCAGCATTTGCTGAAATATGAGACTCGGTGCACTCCAACCAATTGGCGTGCTGCAACTGTATGCACCCCACTTCGTGAAACGTTGGCACAGAGGGCTCTTGTTGCTTTGCTGGCCTGCCTTCACTTAGGGCGGGCACGAGCCTTGCTGGGGCCTTAGCCCAGAATATGTACATCATGGCAAGGCCCCTTCTTGAGGGCTCATTCCTCACAAATTTTCATATGAATATGAATTAGAAAGAAGTCTACCTTCATAGTTCAAAGTTCCGTTTCTTTCTGATTTCCGTACTCTTTTCTGAAGTGTCTTGGGATGGCAAGGGTCTGTTGAGAACTGGTTTCAACTTTCTAGTGTTGTAACTTTCTAGTGTTGTGTAAGCCTTTGTGAATGTCTGTGTGACAGTATTGACTCTATATTGAGCTGTCAAGTTGTGAATAGTGAAAGAGACAGTAAGCTGTGATATGTAAAGTACTGCTTATAACTAATGTCTTTTTTTTTGTTTTTTTTGTGTTTTATGTTTTTTTGGTCTGGACGTTTTTGTGTCTGGTGCACCGGTCCGGGCGGTCCGGGTCCAGTCCTGTCCGATTGTCCGGTGCCTGTCCGGATTACTGGACGTCTGGACCAGTCCAGACAAATGTCTGGGCCTCGGTCCAGACATGTCCGGGTACGGGTCCGCGGTTGCCATGAAAAAAACTGAAAAAAATCATTTTTTTTTTCGTCCCCAAAATTATCCGCCCCCCCTCAAAAAATCCCCAGATTTCGCCCCCTCCTTTTTTAAGTTTTTATGTTTCGTTTTTGCGAGGGGGTAGGGAAGACCCCCCCGACTCAGAACCCACTCCCCGCTCCCAAAACCCCCTCCCCGATCAGCCACGGCTGCGGCCGAAAGTTCTCGGCGGGAGCGGCCTTGGCCGGGGGGGTCCCGTCCACGGCCGGTGGCCGCGGCTGCGACCGAACTCGGCCGCGGCCAGGGGGGAACATAGGTTGTCGAGAGTCGTCCTAGAAGTCGAAAAGGTGACCATTGAAAGTTGATGCCGAAGCCCGAAGATCTACCTGAAACCAGTACCGTGCCGAAATTGCCGCTGCCTGTCACGCTCGTCCTCCTTGGCCCCTTGGTCTATGAGCCAGCCGAGGCTGCGGGAAGAACCAGCAACGGTGCCATTCTATCGGACTGGGAGCCCCCTTTTGTGACCAAAAGGAAAAGACCCTTGCTCGGCTGCTGCCACTGCCCGCAACTGATAAATTTTCTACCCTGTTGGGCCTGTTCAGCCGATAATAATGCGAGCCCTCGAATTTTCCCACCCGCTCCACCTTGTCCCTAGCTCCGTTTTCCAGTCCTTCAACCCCACTGGGCGTTAGGGGCTTGAGGCCCGAGAGACAAGTGACCTATGTCCTTCCCCAACTCGCGCGCCCAGAATCACAATATCGGAAAGGCGTGGCCAACGCTCTGGGGGTTTGACCTCCCAAGCCGGAAAGGCGAGTCCTCGGACACTGTGAGCTGCACGACCAGCTTGCCCACTCGAGAGGAAGGGAAATCCGGTCGCTTGATAAGGCGAGGCCCACTGATGGTTTGTTTACCCAAAGTGCAAAGGCATTTGCCCGATCCAAAAAAAAAAGGTCACTACCACAGATAGTTGCTTACGCAAAGCGGAAAGGTGTTAGCCCACCAAAAAAAACAGGTCGCATGACAAAGCAAGGCCATAGATGGATTGTTTAACCCACGCAGAAAGCATTAGCCCACTCAAAAAAAGGACAGGTCGAATAATAAAGTGAGGTCACGGATGGTCTGTTTACTGAAGTACAAAAGCATTTGCCCACTAAAAAAACAACAACAGATCGAGCGACAAAGCAAACCCCGCAAAAACGAAAGTCGTCGAAGACCAACGCGCAGGAAGTTTGTCCACCCAACGCAGAAAAGCAAACCTTTGGGTACGATGAGCGAGCAGACGGTTTTTCAAGAAGCAGACTCGCTCCCTCTATGACCTGCACTTTCTCCTCCCTTTTCTCGCAGCTCTCTTCCCTCTCCCTTCCTCACACACACGCACTCAAGGTAAAAACAAAGAAAAAGAACTTGCGACACTGTTTAGAGAAAGGAAGATCAGCGATGTTCCACCACCCGAAGAGTCGAGGCTGGCGCCCAACCCACGAGCTGCTACCAGGCCACGAAGCACTTTGATATGAGCCCCTAGTGAGACCTGCCTCTGCAGCCCGCCCCCCCATGTGACCTTGCGGACAATGGCTGACAACCGCGGCAGCAACCGAAGATACCGACCCCGTAGGCCCTTCTGATGAGACCAGGTAAGCGATCTACTCTCCGTCTCCCCCCCAAGCGACCTCGCTCTCTGTCTCCCCCCCCATTCTACCCCTTCTCTACTGCACTCTAAGAGCTTTCACCTGGTGCACGGTTCCGTTTGCCTCCAGAGGTTGCCAGAGCGCCCGTCAAACTTGCGCTCGGCGTCTCGATGCTCGAAGCTCTCCTCGAATGGTCAGCGCCTCCTTCGCTAGCAGGGTGCACTCTTCTTTCCTCCTGGGTCCGCCCGTGTGGTTTTCAAGAAGCAGACTCACTCCCTCTATGACCCACACTTTCTCCTCCCTTTTCTCGCAGCTCTCTTCCCTCTAAGAAAAAAAACTTGCAACACCATTTAGAGAAAGGATGATCAACGATTTTCCACCACCCGAAGAGCCGAGGCTGGCGCCCGACCCACCAGCTGCTACCAGGCCACGAAGCGCTTTGATCTACGC